AAAAAAAAAAAAAAAAAACTGTATCACGTCCGTACATATAATATATCATTTTTTTTTTTTCTCAAATAGAATATCTTTTAAATTTGTTATAATTGATTGCGACCTATATTAGTATGTCCAAAAAAATTTTTTATATAAAAGAAGATATTGAAAAAGTTGAAAGCGAGGCAAAACTCGTATTGGTAGAAAATATTTAAATTTTATATTTTGTTGTTTCGTTTTCAAATTTTCATATACATCTCACAAACGGTGTACAAAAATTTGTACGTATATGTGGACAAAAACGTCAAATAGATCACGGCCGTCGTCGGGCGGCGTGGCGGCAGTGGACTGGTCCGGCAACAGGCGGAGGAGGAGGGCTAACTAATCGTTTGTATATCTAACAACACAAATCAATTATTGGAGAGATGCTACAGTCTCGTTATAAAACTATTCCTATCTAACGGTTACAAACTCTGACGAAATGATTCCGTAACGGGACCGTAGCATTTCCTTCCGTTTATTGATTTGTGTGGGGTAAAACTTAAAAGATAGAGGAACGGTAAAAAAAAAAATCATCCATATATGAAACAAGTCAAAGTAAAGTAATTTGGCAAAATTAATTTTTGACACGCCAAGTCGATCCATTTCTAAACAACGCACACAGGATTGGCGCACATCTACACATGGCCACGGGCAGGCCGGCCCACCAGTTCGACCCGGAACTGGCCCATGTTCATCGGGCCTTAAACCGGGCCCACTAGTTTGTGAACAGTAACTTGTACATATATAGTTTCTCCAAAATGGGTATTGCCTGATATATATGTCCTTAATTATGCCTATATAATAGTCTTGCACATAGCTATACATCAGAATTTATAGAAATATATATATATATATATATTGAGAGACAAAAAATTAAATTAATTAAGAAAAATTAAATTAATTAAGAAAATTAAGTCAAGACACGCGAAATGCTTTTTTCTTTTGTAGAATTAATTTTCAGCCTTTGTAAGTTTTTTCATTTACAAAATGGACAGTTAAATAAAACACCAAAATTTCACTTACAATTACTAGCTAATGAGATAAATATATTGTGTGAATTAATTAAATAAATTATTATATATATGTATAAATAGAAGCAACTTGACATATGGAGAGTGGACCCAATTAATAATAAATTTTAACATTTCGAAAGTGACTATACAAAGGAGAAATTAATTAAATTTCAGACTTTCAAAGCTGGATGTGTCTAATTTTGGACTCATCTATGCAAATTATACAAAATAGTCCCATCTTATTAGGAAAATCAGGATATATTATTATTATTATTATTATTTTTTTTTATTTTTATTTTTCATGAAAATTTGAAACAAATCCATATATATATATATATATATATATATATATATATATATACATGATTATACTAAATTTGGCTGCCGTTAGAAGAAAATAAATTCATGTGTTGATTGCCCAATATCGGGTTGCATTTTATTTCCATTTTAATTAATATTGATATACTTTCGGTCCCCAACAGAATTGATGATTTTTGTTTTCCATAATTTGGAAACATTTTTTGGAGCAAAGAATAACCAGTTATTATAGTTTTTAGTCACAAAAATACCCAAGCAAAAAATTGCTAGATAAAAATTGCAATAAAAAAAAAAATGGAATAAAATAAGTGGAACACAAATAATGCAACCTTTTTTTTATGGTGTATCAAGTGATAAATATATCAGTAAACTAATTGATTGTGAAGGGAGAAATTTTATTAGATGGCCAAATGTTTGGAATTGTGTCATAGGATATCTAATTTTTGGACCAGTACATTATGTTTTGTAATGTGTATCGTTTTTACAACATTAATCTTAAAAAATAATAATGAACCATTTTCGCGATAACGTCCCAATAACGATATAAATTGCAACATAACGTACTGTTATTGACGAGAGAGAAAAGTTAGTGTATAAAAAAAATGACTTTATAAAAGTAAACAGACCAAAAATTAAATTTTCGCCCTTCTTATTTCTTAAGAAAAGGATTATAGTCATTTTTTTTGGAAGTATGAATAATACTCCTAGTCTTTTTATAAAAAAAGAATAAGGGCATCCCTAATGGTAATAGTTATTACTAGCTATATGGTCAGCTAACGTGGATGTGAGAGAAAAATAACTATTTTATACTATTGGACCCACGTACTCCTCTCACATGATCTTGGGCCACGTGAAATAGATAAACTATTTGTTAGTAGCTAGTGACTACTCTCTCTCCTACTTTTTTCCTGTCCACGTCATAATAGTTAGCCAAATAGCCAACCATTTGAGGACACCCTAAATAGCCTTCTCATTTTTTTATGGAAATATATTATATAAAAAAGTGTTAATTAATTAATAAAATATTCGATTCAACTATTAGTCCGATTAACGAAATCATTAAACCAATAGTTTCACCGATTCGATTTCCGAAATATTGCTGACTATTTCCATTATCAAAAAAATTCGAATTCCAATGAAAAAGAAAGAGTTACAGGTGTTGCCGTCTAACAGTGAAATAAAGACGATCAACGAAAGCGCCGTACACCTCCAACTCAAAGCCCACTCTTTACCGTACGACCAACTCAAAACCAGTGAACTAATAACAAAACCCAGCAGACAAAATCGGGAGACCCTCCGTACACCCGCCCCCACACACCCAATCACACCTCGACAGCACATCCTTAAAGAACCCCCCCACCTAGGTTTTCTATTCTCACAACCTACTACGTCTTCAAAAAAATTAATAATAATAATATTATTTATAAAAATTTCCCCAATTTGATTTAACTCAAAAAAAAAATAATATTATTTCACCAAAAAGGAGTTTACAACTGAGAACACTGTAATAATAGTATGATTTTTTTTTACTGAAGCAATAAAAATTTTCCCAGGGTTTCTATTTTTAGGTCTAATGTGTGTGTTTTAGAGAGAGAGAGAGAGAGAGAGAAGTGTGTGTTTTAGAGAGAGAAAATAAGCATAAAAAAAGAAAAGAAAGAAAAAAATGGGGAGAGGGAAAGTTGAGCTGAAGAGAATAGAGAACAAGATAAACAGGCAGGTGACATTTTCAAAGAGAAGAGGAGGTTTGTTGAAGAAGGCTCATGAAATCTCTGTGCTTTGTGATGCTGAAGTTGCTTTGATCGTTTTTTCGAACAAGGGCAAGTTGTTTGAGTACTCTACTGATTCTGGGTGAGCTTATATTATGCTTTTTTTTTTTTTTTTTCCTATTTTTTGGGAATTTTTTATTTGGTTTGTGTGTCTTGTTGGAGCTTTTATGTTGTTTTTCTTTTGTTTCTTGTTTCGGGAGATTTTACGGTACTGTTACGGAATTATTTCGCCGGAGTTTGTAACCGTTAGATCAACTATTAATGAAGGTTACATGATGATCTGACGGTTACAAATCTCGACGGAGTGGTTTCGTAGCGGAATTGTAGCGTTTCCCTCTTGTTTGTTTGGGCAAGTTTTTTGGCAACTAGGGTTTCTCTTTTCTCTCTCTCTCTCTTTTTTCGGGTGGATTGGATCTTACGAATTGAATTTTTTACCGTTGGATTACGCTTACACGAACCCAATTAGATGTGTGTTGAGCGAACAGTAAAACAGTGCGTTCACCGACAAGCTCGAATTTATCGTTTTTTTTATAATTTTATTTTGCTTTTTTTATTGGTTATCCATCTCTAATTATTGTTGTTGTTCTCTTGATTTGTTTTTAGATCACCTAACATATAAGCTAACTAACTAAATTGGATTTTTTTCTTTTTTTTGGGTTTTTTTTGTTGTTTTTGCTTGATTTTTGTTAGATGTGAACATACAAAAGCATCTTTTAGCTAGGTTTTCTCTTTTGTTCTTTGGGTAAAGTTCTTTAAATTCTTGATTTATATCCAAACTTTCTTTAATTTAGGTTTGGGAAAGTGAGTACTGTTCTTGGTTTGATTAATTCATTGAATTTTCATAATAATTTTCTTAATTAAGTTTTAAACCATGATTAATCTATATTTACTAACCAACTTACCAAATTGTGTGTTGGTAAAATTTTGATTGTTGATTTGGGTAATATTATAATGAAAAGAGCATCAAATGATTGTCCTTTGTATTTATTACAAAGGTAATCCAACTTGTAAATCTGGTAATATAACATGACTCTTAATATATATGTATATATATAACCGACCGATCGACCAGCCCTAGTAATTCAAAACTCGGGTATAGTCGATAATTCTCTAAAAATATAATTTTAAATTGAAATAGTTTTATGAAAAATTATTAGCTTGACCTACAATAGATATTTGTGTGAAAAAGTTTCTTGTATTTTTGGAAGAAAAATATTTAATAATTCAAGTACCATTTATGCAATAAATAGCAAAATTTTAGTTTTTTACTTTCAGTTCAACTTTCTTGGATGACATACATGTATAAAATTCATTGAATTATTATATAAATCTACTGGTATTTATCCATTGAATAATAATAATAATAATAATAATAATAATAATAATAATAATAATAATAATAATAATAATAATAATAATTAAATATATATTTAGTACTGTTGACGGCTGATATGATATATGGTGAATTTTTATTAGCATCTGCCCTAGATTTGCTCTACCTTCAGTTGTTGACACGCAATAATTTTCTGGATTTTGTGTGTTCTAACGTTGGTTGGACTGAAATTGAAAAAGTTGTGTCCTTTATTGACCAATCTAGAATATATAAGGCTTCATTTTCAATTTAATTTACAGTTTCTGTACTTTTATTAGATGGTAATAAATAATATTTTTATTTAGGGTTTTATATATGTGAGAACTAATTAATATATATATATATATATATATATATTTTTTGTAGTCCTTAATTTTTACAAGAAAGACTTGGTATTTCATTGGATTTCAAAATCTAAATATTAATAGGAAATTAGTATATTTAGGTTAATTCTTCCTAAAATTTAATTCAATGGAGTCTTTATTTGAAGGGTTGGTTTTGATTTTGCTTAATTATTGCAGTCTAATTTCTAAACTATATTTTAAGTATTTTTATTAGATTGAACACTTCTATTTAATTATTAATACAAAAAATAAAACATCTATTTCTAGGGCTGTATTCTCTCTCTCTCTTCTTTACATAACTATGGCAAGCTATAAATTGAGGAGAAATGCTACAGTCCTATTACGGAACCATTACGTAGGGATTTGTAATCGTTAATTTTGTAACCGTCGTGGACAATTGATCTAACAGTTACAAACCCCGACGGAATGGTTCCGTAACGGTACCGTAGAATCTTCCTAAATTGAGAAGTAATGTTAGTTTAAAGTATTTTATTTCATTAATTGAATTTTATTAAAATTGGCCTGATTTTAATTTACAGGATAAAATAAACAAGTACAATATATTTGTTCCTTTTTTTTTTTTTAATTTGAAAACAATGGATTCAAATTAGGTGATAGACTGAGTGGGAAGTTTTATCACCTTTTACGGATAAATGAGAAAACACTGTTAATGCATAGTCTATTTGGTACACATTCAAACCTTTATTTTTGCCTATATTCATTATTATAATTTTCCAGTGCTTTTGATTATTCACTTGCAATTTTATTTCTACACACTAATTATTAGTTATTACTATGTAAAAAGGGGAGATGCGACAGTCCCGTGACGGAACCATTTCGTCAGGGCTGTAACCGTTAGATCAACTATCCCGACGGTTACGTTATGATCTAACGGTTACAAATCTCGACAGAATGGTTCCGTAACGAGACCGTAACATTTTCCCTGTAAAAAGTGCCAAAAAAAAAAAGACTTATTAATAATTAATATTTGTGTGCACACAGCATGGACATGATCCTGGATAAGTATGAAAGGTATTCATTTGCAGAGAGACAATTGGTCTCCAATGAACCTGAATCACCTGTAAGTTATTATGTGATTAAATATATGTTGGGTTGTTTTTAATTTATTTTTTATTTTATTTGTATTATGATTTTCTCATGCAATTACTACATATCTGAAAATATATGAAATCTTAACAAAAGTTAATTAAATTATAAACAAATTAACATGCATTGTACATGTTCACAGGCAAATTGGACAATTGAATACAGCAGACTTAAGGCCAGAATTGAGCTCTTGCAGAGAAATCATAGGTGACTAAAAATTTCTTTTTCATGAATAGAAAGAACATATAATAATAATAATAATAATAATAATAATAATAATAATAATAATGATAATAATAATAATAATAATAAACATAATAATCCACTATTAATTTTTATTTTATTACATTTTGTTTTATGTAATTGTTTTAATTTAATTAATAAAATTGTCCAATCAGGCACTACATGGGCCAGGATTTAGACTCAATGAGCCTCAAAGACCTTCAGAATTTGGAGCAGCAACTTGACACCGGTCTTAAGAACATCCGATCTAGAAAAGTACAAAAATATTTTTTTTTAGTTTTTTTTATAGATTTATTTAAAATTCAATTATTTTTTTTCGAAAATTAATTTTCGATATGAAAACTAACTTTCGTCTCGGCTTTCAGAATCAGCTCTTGTACGATTCGATTTCCGAGTTGCAGCGAAAGGTTTGTCCTTATACTGTAAAAATAATAACATTTGTGTTTATGATACACGATATAAAATAACATCGTACACAATTTTAATACAGCATCATATTTGGTTCTCACGATTGTTACGCTTTTATCGATAAATATTTGTTTCCTTCACGAAAGTGTTTGTACTTTACATACGGCTACTCATTATTAAAATTAAAATGTACACATAACTTTTGACAGGAGAAGGCCATACAAGAGCAAAACAGCATGCTGACTAAGAAGGTAAAAACCAAACATGTATTATTACGATTTACTGAACATGTGATTGGCATTAGGGGTACAAACGAGTCGAGTCGAGTGCGTACGGACCTTATCGAGTGCAGATTGGACTTTTTTCTTCAGTGCTCTAACTCGAGTTCGACGAGCCATGTAAAATGTTGCTCGACTCGACTCATTAAAAAAAATAAGAATGCTCGAGCTTGATTCAATGCTCGAAAAGGCTCGGGTTCGGCTCAAAATTTTAACTAAATTTTTGATATAAAGGGTACTGTTATTAATGTAAATAGACAATGTTGGTCTTGATGTTCTAATATTGATATTTAAAACTTATTGTGGTATTTATGTTAATAAGAAGTCGAGCGGCTCGTCGAGCTTACGAGCCTCTTGAAATGATGCTCGATGCTCGACCCGTTTGCTCAATTAAGCTGCTCGAGCTCGAGTTGTACCGAGCTCGAGTCGAGAGTTGACTCGAGCACTCGCAACTTGTTAGTAGTCCTAATTGGTATGAATTATTTATATCTTTTAAGAAAAGAATAATATATATATAATTTTTTGTTCTACAATTTGTAATGTAGATAAAAGAGAAGGAGAAGGAAATAGGGCAACAAGCACAGTGGGCCCACCAAAACCACCCCCAACCGCTGCCGCCACTTCCGCCACCACCACCGCCGTTCCTCATTTCATCTCAGCCTCCTTGCTTGAACATTGGGTAATTTCATCTCCTTTTAATTATTATTATTATTATTATTATTTTTATAACTAAAGTACAATCTCTTAAATCTTAGTATCTCCAAGTTTTAAGCTACGACGAACAAATGCGACACTTTTTACGACCCGCGAAATGAAATACTATTCTTTTAACATTCGATTCTTCTGCTATTTCGACTACTTCCAACATTCGATGGGGGAAAAACAAAAGTATGTTCGGTATTTTTCATGTTTATATCGTGACATATAATTTCCATTTTTCGTTTTGTTTTGTTCTGTGAAGAGACGGATCGTATGAAGAGGCAGCCGAGGCAAGGAGAAACGAGCTTGATCTCACTCTCGACTCGATGTATTCGTGTCATCTTGGATGTTTTGCTGCATGAGTTTGTTACATGAATATATGGTATCTACTATTTGTTGTGATGAATTCTCTAAGGCATATATATTATGTGTGCACTATTTGCTATGTATTGTTTTTTGTGTTATTCATATGGCTGTAAATTAAGAGACCAAGAAAAGAAAAAAAAAAGGGAGAAAAATTGACTCCTCTAAGAGGAGAATGCACTTTGAGATTATGATAATGTAATGAAAAAAAAAAGAGTAACAACTCTTTCAAATGTGAACAATAATGTAATGTCTATGTGTGTAATTTCATGTATGGGTTTTTATTGATATTATTTGTCTTGAGTTCTAAACTAATATAGTGTGCACTCGTAAATTTATGTGGGTTGGTTTGTTAGTAGCTGATGAGTTAGTTGATAGTCAATAAACGTACTTCAATCTTATTGTTCATAGCTCATGACTAAGGTCTCTTACACGTCGGCTGAAATAAAAGTTGTTATGTTTTATTTTTAAAAATAAAATAAAAACGACCTAGAGAAGCATATGAGATAAATTTCATTTTCTTAAAAAAAATAAAAAAACTCATCCTCCCAAACTATATTTATTTGAATAAGAAATAACTTATGAACTAATTAGTTAAGTTATAAGCTAACTAATGATGATTAAAAAATAATGTTTATATCATATGTTTATCTACGTAGCATCAATCATAAACTATTCCTTTTTTAGCTAAAATTAGATTATGATCTAAAAACTTTGCAAACCTTACCTTTAATCTTAGTCCACTAACCCATTAAGCAAAGCCCGTAAATTTGGGATCCATTTTTCATGCAAAACCCATTAGATAAGCCCACAAGTGAAGCCCATGACACAGTCGTCTTCCCCACACCAAAAACCCTAAAATCAACTTTGAGTTTCCCCAAAACCCTCTGAGCTACAAATCGCGTGAAAATCTCTGTTATCCCTCGCAATCACCGTCTGATTCGTTAGCTCAGAGCTAAAGGGTTTGGAATAATGGCGAAAAAATCAAGCTCAGATAGTTCGAAGAAGAAGAAAAGTAAGAGCAAGATTAAGAGCAAGTTAAGCGTTCTCAATTCAGAGGCAAAGAAAAACAAAGCACCCAAAGATAATCCATTCGAGAGCATTTGGTCTCGGCGCAAGTTTAATATCTTGGGCAAGAAACGTAAGGACGAAGAACGCCGCCGTATTGGGCTCTCTCGCTCACTCGCCATTCAAAAGGTCCTGCGTTCGTCGCTCTGTTTTGTTTGAGCTTGTGGTGTGCTGATTTCTCGTGCTGTTTCTGAATTTTTTTTTTTCTTTTTTATTTGAAATGAGCTGTGGTAGCTTTTGTGAGCTCATGTGCGCTCTTGGTATAAAAAGAAACAGCCATTATCTCGAGTTCTTTTCATACTGTAATGAAGTGAATATGGTTAAAGGGCTATCAGCATATGTAACATTTTTAGACCTGTTGGAAAATATGTTAATAAATTTATGGATGAAATTGTTAATATGCGTATTGCGGCCGTCTATTACTCGGGCCTAAGACTATTGGAACTAAGCTTGTACTTTGTTCATTTGTGTATTATAAGTGTGTCCGCGTGTGAATTCTGTTGCTTTGATTAACTTTTGAACAAGTTATTGGATTTCTGTTAGAGCATGAATGTGTTTTTCCTTTTAAAATGCAGAGGCAAAAGACACTGCTAAAAGAATATGAACAGAGCGCAAAATCTTCTGTCTTTGTTGATAAGCGTATTGGAGAGCAAAATGAGGGACTTGGGGAGTTTGACAAGGCAATTCTGAGGTCCCAACGCGAACGACAGGTGGGATTGCTTAATGAATATACCGTCCTATATATGTTTTGCTGATTTATTTAAAATCTGAAATTCTGCTACTAAAAGCAGTGATAAATGTATACCAATTTTCCTCTGTGTCGGTTGTTTTATGAGGGTCTTGATTCTTTTCTATGATTGTTGTTGTTATTAGTTAACCCTGAAGAAGAAAAGTAAGTATAATTTATCTGATGGGGAGGAAGATGACTTTGAGATTCCAGATGATGGGTACTTTCGGGAAAGGGACGATTTTGAAGATGATGTACCTTTGGATGAGGATGATGCTGGCCAATCAATTGGATATCCAAGTAAGTGTTTGCTTCAGATTTGTGTGTTATTTCCTTTTATTTTTCTTTTATTTTTCTCGTTTTCTTTCTTGATTTTGGGAAAGGTTATCATCAGTGCTTTTGTTATGGATTAATTATGATCAACATCTGCCAAAATTTGTACATAGTATTCTCGCACTGCTATGCGAATATTCAGTAACATATTAGGTCAGAGTGAGAAGTCATTTTCTTGTATATTCAGTACAGGATCTTCAAAGATAAAATTGTTGGCCAACTCATGATTGAGGAAATGAACTTGTAATGTCTTCTTAGACCTTGTAATATATAATGCCTCAGAATTTTGTAAAGCAACTATATATATGTGTGTGTGTGTGTGTGTGTGTGTGACCTTTATGGCCCTTCTATACGTAGCTAATATTAATGGATTTTATCTCTATGCAGAAAAATTAAATCTGGATACCCGTGAAGCTGAAGATGGTTCAGGATCAAGAACAGTTGAAGAAAAGGAAGATGTGAGATCATGTGCTGACTAAAAATTGTTTCGAAATATAATCATTTAAAGTTATACCGACCGAGAAGCATTTTCCTTTCCTTAAAAGTAAACTGGTTTATTTCTGCTTCTAACTTGGTCACATCTTTGTTGTTGCAGAGGCCTAAGAGCAAGAAAGAAGTAATGGAGGATATCATCTCCAAAAGCAAGTTCTTCAAGGTTTTCTGC